GACTTACTAACGATTCGCAACGTTACTACCAACGTTTTCGTAGGGAAACGTGGCAAAGTTATCGGCCTCTTCCCTTCAGACTCTGCCATCACTTCGATTCATCTCGTATCCGGCTGCGACTCAGGAAATGAAAGTCAAAGCAAAAATCGGGAGGGAATCGGAGACGCGTTCGCCTTGGAAAACGCGAACATCCCCGGAAATCATTCGCGTCGACGCGCATCTCTCCGCTGGCTGCAGGCAGAAAATCGAAATCAGCGGTGAAGTAGCTCGTTAACGTCACGAGGGACTTTATATCCGTCAGCAAAGATCGCGGAGCCAGTGATCGACACTTCGAAGCTGTTTCAACCGAGATCCTGAGATCGTCACTTTAGCCGTAGGCTACGATTATCTTAATTTTATTAATTTTACCCTTTCTCTCTAATCCCCTTTTTGCGAATTTCGTGGAAAATTTAAATTTTCGAACGTTCGCACAAATAACAGTTGTGTGTTTCTTTTTTAAATCTTGAGCTTCTACAAACGCTCGTCGCCTAATTGTAATTATTTTCAAAGAGAACCAAAGAGCATTAATTTTGTTTAATCTTCCGAACGCGAAACTGTGAAAATATAATTCCACCGTGAATGTGAATCCGAAATCGTATTACGTGTACGATTCTCACGGTATCTTTTATTCAAGGAATAAATACATTTATTTGCCGGCCCGATATCGGATCAAAACGATTGAATAAAGGACCGAGGCAATTTATCACGGAGCGCGGAATCGTAGGAATTATCTTTTACGTCGTCGAATATTCCGAATCCGTGGATAAATGATAACTTTGGGCACGATTTAATTCGACGTCGACGACGATGACGATTCGTTGAACGAATCATCGGCGTCCCCGATCGGTTCCCGTGCTTTCGCGACGCAATCCCGACGTGATTAACATTTCAACAGAGCGCGTCGATGGGAAATTTTTTAATTTACAAATGGACACGCGCGTTCCGCGTTATTGCTCGTTCTCGCGACGAGCGTTCGTGTTAATGATCGCTGAAATCGTGCGGCGTTGTTCGCGAGTGAACGAGGAAAAAAAAAAAAAAAAGAGAAAGAGAAAAAGAAAAATGAGAAACAAACGAGTCACGCGATTCCAGTTTGATATTTTACGATTTTAACGATCTCATTCGCGCAATAAAGCGCGACGCGATATCGCGATAGCGTTTTTCCCTGTTTCTGTTTAAACGCGATCTTTTTTTCAGCCGTGCGCGGCGCCGCTCGTTCGTGAAATTCCCGGCAGAATCGGCCCAGCCGAGCAAATAAATATTGTTCCTTTGTTTGGCGTATCGCCGGGCATTAATCGGTCGATTTTGATCTCCGTGGACACGGCCGATGGAAACGGATAGTCGTTAATAAACCCCGAACCAGGCCACCGGTAAAATAATATCGTTTTTAATGGAATTGTTCCGTGCAATACGCCCGTTGGACAATCGTGGAGATTTCAACAGCGAGAGATAATCTCTGGCCGTGGGGAGTTTTTTTTTTCGCTGCATCGCCGCGCAATTGGCCCGACTAGTGGAATCAGATCGTGTGTGGTCAGACGGTGCACGTCGTGCGTGAACGTACGATAGAAAAATGAAAAAGTAAAAAAGATAATCGATTTGGTTAAACAGTCGAATCTGAGTAATTCGAATAGGAAAGTGCGTGTTCAATCAAACCGATTAGTGGAATCAGATCGTGTCTGGTCAGACACGGTGCACGTCGTGCGTGAACGTACGATAGAAAAATGAAAAAGTAAAAAAGATAATCGATTTGGCTAAACAGTCGAATCTGAGTAATTCGAATAGGAAAGTGCGTATTGAATCAAACTGATTAGTGGAATCAGATCGTGTCTGGTCAGACACGGCGCACATCCTGCGTGGACGTACGAATATTTTGATTAAAAATAAATAAATAAAAATACAATCGATTCTGGGTAAGTAGAATAGCAGAGTGTTCGGTCGAAGATCTGGGTAAGTAGAATAGCAGAGTGTTCGGTCAAACCGATTAATGGAATGAGATTGTATCAGGTCAGACATACACACGCGTCTGTCTCGTGTGCACAAACATGGAATATCGGAGATTGAAAGAAGCAAGTTAATAATAGATTTGACTAAGTTATTGACCGTGGACATGGGCGAGTAGAATAAGAGCACGTTTAGTTAGACTGTTAGTGGAGCGAGATTGTATTGGATCAGACGTAGATACACGTCTGTCTCGTGTGCACGGACACACGGAATATCGGAGATTGAAAGAAGCAAGTTAATAGTTGATTTGACTAAGTTATTGACCGTGGACTTGGGCGAGTAGAATAAGAGCATGTTTGGTTAGATCGTCAGTGGAGTGAGATCGTATCGGCACGGACGTGCATGTGCGTTTCACGTGAAGTATTACAGAGTATTCTGTGGAGATTTAAGGGGTAGGAGGAGCGTTACGGTCGATTTAAGAGAACTGTTGCCAACAGGCCTGAGCAACTAGAATCGTGTTTGCTCGGACAAGTAAAATCATCGAGTTACACGCAGAAGTCAGAGAGCCGATCGGTTCTACTCTGAAATTTCACAAGTTCTTGCCGAGTTAGACTTCCCTGCCGGGCGAAACTTTACACCCTCGGCAATAATTCTCGCGGGCCTTTCGAACTCTGTTTGTTCCTCATTGTTTGACGAATTAGCTAGCTTTAAGTATCTTTCAAATCACCGTCGATCTTGTAACGATATCCTGATATTAAGGAACAAATATTTCTTAATCTGTTTGTTTTTTGATGATTTCGAATAACGGTTATACGTACTTATTGACTAACAACGGACAACAATCCAGGACTTATTGTCAATACGAAGAAGTATTATCGTATATTTATAGCGATTCATCCTCCTTTTTGTAATGATAAAAAAGAATATATATATATTTTTTAAATATTTTAAATTATAAATTCTTTAAACATTATAATATATTATATTTTATAAATTATAAATAATTATAAAATAAATATTATATATATAATATAAATATAACATTTACTACGCTCCTTCAAGGCCATTGTGCCAGGAGCATTTACTATTGTCATCTCGGTCGCCTACTCGAGAGTTTAAAGAAAATTCCCGATCGACGTTCAGGGCAATAAAATACCGGCCCATTATTCAAATGTGATTGGCTCTCACATATAAAACAGCGGACGAAAAGCTAGTGATTGTGTTAAAAACATTAATCTGTGAGTCAAGCAGCAGTTAGTAAGGACTCAGTTTATTTCCCACAACGGTGGATGGTCCTTCGAGAGGAACAGAAATGGCCACAGATGCACGATCGACACCGAGTCGTGAGTGACCTTGACACTATCATTTACGACATACACGTTCAGAATTTGTCCAACGAGTGCGTGAATCGATCAAAATTCCCCCTGGTGTGAGTTCGCGTATAAATTTCCAATTCGTTTCACCTTCGCGTGCTTCACCTTGACTTTCTATCGAACGACTGACTCGTGCAAACATAGTTTGCCCCCGAGCCAGGTGAGAGAAATAAATCGCACCTCGAGGCATCCCCTCTATCATAACAACTCTTCAATCAGCTTTCGGCGATTCTCTTCGCACTCTTGCGGCGCGTGAATCGCACTGGCGGTGAGAAACGTTGAAAGCTCGACGCGTGTCACGGCGATTCGTCTGCCAGATAAAACGCGTGCCAACTAGCGGGGAATGCTGGTACGTGGCGCGACACGCCATTGTCCGATACGGCTGCCTGCAGTTCTCATCTTGATACGTTCGCTTTGTCGCGTGCGCTTCGCGGAAACGCGCGGATAAAACGCGTTTTTTTTTCCACGACACTGTTCGCGCCTCTCCCGATATTTCGATTAAAAAATCGTGCCGAAATCGTTGAAAAATTGGCTGCGTTGTAAGCTCTTCCCACTTCTGAATAATGAATCAGAGCGATGAAATACTAGCGATGCGTTAATAATTGAACGCTAATAGAAAAGCACGTAGCAGATTACGGCCTGGTAGGGTTTAACCTCTTGCACTGGCAACTGGTTCGCGGACCATAACGAGTGACCGAACCGTATAATAATTATGTATATAAATATATAAATATATATATGTATAATAATATATGTGTAAATACAATTCGTCGCTTTCTTTTTCTTTTGAACTTGTCGGTATGATATCACCGGATAGAAATTATCAAGAAATAAGTAATCAACTTATCATTTATTTTGCCTGGGTTACATTTAAAATACTTATTAATATATTACTATATTAATATACTAATATATATAAAAATTTAATATATATTAATATATATTGATGTACTAAAAATTTAATATATATATTAATATATATTAATATATTAAAAATTTAATATATATTAATATATATTAATATACTAAAAATTTAATATATATATTAATATAATAAAAATATAATAATAACTAATCTAATATAACTTAAAACTGAGAAAATGTTGCAATTTGGTACAAAAAATTCACGACGTGGCACACGTTACTCCAGTGCAAGAGGTTAATGCGTCAACTCTCAGAGAGTTGGAGAGTTTCGAAAAATTAGCGGATTTCTGAAAGCGTAAAACGAAGTATATAAACGATATACCGAGGCCGGTAGAGAAACATTGCGTCGCTAGAGACGTTCTTTGTTACGGAATAACGCGGATTGTTCGCGAGTTTTCGAACGTGGAAACGTCCCGCGAATAAACAGACACCGCGTTTCACCCGTTCCTTTTCTTCCGCTCTCTTTGTGTTTTCTCCCCCATGCTTTTACCCGATCGAATGAAAAAAAAAAGTTCTACGAGGAACGACGTATCGAGCATTGACGAGTTAATTTTCATTACGTCTTTATTTTCCTTTCATTCCACGTGAACTCTGTCGCCAGCGTTAAGGTAAACGTCGAGTTCGAGTGCATACACTGCGAACCGCGTGTGCCACCGATATCGACTAGTAAATCCGATTCGATGACCGCGGAGGCGAAAAATTTCAGAGAAATTAAAGGATACTCACCTATCACCGTTAAATTGACTTTGGAGTTTCGCGTCTGGCCGATCTGGAAGTCGACGCGACACCTGTAAATGCCGGCGTCCTCTTCCCTTATGTGGTCGACGCCGAGTTCGGCCGGTTTCTTGTCCGGCATGAAGTACGCCCGATTCGAGAAGACCGTGTCGTCCGACCATCGTTCGGCGATACCAAAATCCCGATCCCTCGCATCAACGCTGCAACCAGTACAAAAATATACTTCTCACAGATTCGCTCTGTCGAATCTCGAAAATGTTTCGTGTTCTCGAATGTTCTCACACTCTGATCACGTTGGAATGACGACCGTGGCATAAAAATTCCATCGAGAGACGTTAAAGTGAAAGAAACGGAAAATCTTTAGAATACAATAGTTTAGAGTACACAAGTGCACTTTCACATGCGTGTTTTACGAAGAATCAATCGAGTCACCAGAAACATAGTGTTTTATATTTGTAAAATATATGTTTCTATAAAACGTCTGACAAAAATATTCATATGGTTGTTGTGGTATTGACTGTTTTGGTAGTTGTAGTGTTGAATCTGTTGTCGTCAGTTGAATATTACGCCTTACGAAGCAGCAGTTAAAGTTATGTACATACGTAATTTGTATTGAAGCATTCCAGAGGAAGAACGACTTTGAATTTCCTGTCATTGTTTAGGATTTTTAACTATTTCTGGTTATTTAAATATTTAGCTATTTATTTGGTTATTTTAATATTTAGCTAATATTTAAATATCAGCTAAATATTAAATTATAAAATATTTATTTTATTTAAATATTATATTTAAATATTACATTTAAATATTTATTTTATTTAAATATCAGCTAATTTAGTTATTTAATATTTAGCTAATATTTTGGTTTCTTAAAGCGGCGACTCTCGGGTTTTTTCTCCATACTCTTCGATAAAGAGTATACAGTCCATTTTCGCGATGTTTACACCTCTGCAACACTTCTTCGATTTATTCCCCACGACATTGCAATATCTATTTTTTCGAAGTGAGAGAAACCAGCAGACGAGAAAGATTGAGATTTTCCAAACATGGAATTTTTCCAAATATAAAACTTTATGGATATTTTCTAAATTTGGATACTTAGACATGATTTGTAAGAATATCGACAAGTGCCGGGAAATCCTCAAAATACAAGAAATTTCTGACCTAACTTTCTGTTTCGAGGACACTGCATACTGAGTGTGTATTGGACGAGAGCGTACGAAGTTTCGGATGGATCCTCGCGTCAGTCAGTCAGTCAGAAACATTTGCGCACATCGGAATAACATACGTCGTGATGTCTGAATGCAACGTTTCGCGTGATGCATTCAAACGTTACGATTTCGGAACAAAATACAGTGAAGAGCATAACTCTTCGTAACGAACAGAAATTGTTGATAATTTAGGCTGATATAGCTCTGTAAAAAAAGATCCGTATTCGAAAGTTATCTATTTTAACAATAGTGAATTCATTTCTTTCAAAAATGATCTAATGCGAGTTTCGTTCTGGGAAATTGTAATTCATTCAAACACACGCGTAAAAATGTTAAAAAAAAAATTTTTCGTGACTGACAATAAATCTTGACCACGATCTTAAAAATTGAAGAAAAACTGATCTCTCTTTTACACGGTGATTGCTCAAAGTTTACTCTACGATGATTTTTTGTTCGTTACGTTGTTGAACTTTGAAGATTAGGATTAGATGTCGAGATGTTAGGACTTCCTGATATTCAAAGTTCCATAAATTGGCGAATGAAGATCGTGCAGCAAGTTTTCGAAAAGTCGTTCACAAAGAGGAATTTATATTCTTCAAGTTCATTACACATTCAGATATGGAGAACATTTTTCAATGTCGTGACATACCGTGACAATTCATAGCATTTTCGAGGAGAAAAGTGTCTTTCTCATCTGCTACGTAGTTTATTTTGAAAGTTCCACGTTTCAAAATTTATTGTTATTCAATTTCTTCTTACAAAACTTTGCAAAATTTATAAATTTCAAATTTTACAAAATTATAACAGTTTTAATGTCCAGCGTCCGAATGTTAACGCGTCCGAGTCACTATATTTTCACTTAATCCCGTTTCGTCGAAGGTAAAATTTCGAACGAATGCTGTCGAAAGTTCCACGTTTCAAAATTTATTGTTATTCAATTTCTTCTTACAAAACTTTGCAAAATTTACAAATTTCAAATTTTACAAAATTATAACAGTTTTAATGTCCAGCGTCCGAATGTTAACGCGAGTCACTATATTTTCACTTAATCCCGTTTCGTCGAAGGTTAAATTTCGAACGAATGCTGTCGAAAGTTCCACGTTTCCAAATTTATTGTTATTCAATTTCTTCTTACAAAACTTTGCAAAATTTACAAATTTCAAATTTTACAAAATTATAACAGTTTTAATGTCCAGCGTCCGAATATTAACGCGAGTCACTATATTCTCACTTAATCCCGTTTCGTCGAAGGTAAAATTTCGAACGAATGCTGTCGAAAGTTCCACGTTTCAAAATTTATTGTTATTCAATTTCTTCTTACAAAACTTTGCAAAATTTACAAATTTCAAATTTTACAAAATTATAACAATTTTAATATCCAGTGTCCGAATATTAACGCGAGTCACTATATTTTCACTTAATCCCGTTTCGTTGAAGGTTAAATTTCGAACGAATGCTGTCCACGTTTCAAAATTTATTGTTATTCAATTTCTTCTTACAAAACTTTGCAAAATTTATAAATTTCAAATTTTACCAAATTATAACAGTTTTAATGTCCAGCGTCCGAATGTCAATCCGAGCCACTATATTCTCACTTAATCCCGTTTCGTCGAAGGTTAAATTTCGAACGAATGTTCAACACTAATATTAGATCGTTAATGTTAGATCTTCGATCATCAGCGTGCGCGGGTTCACTAGATTTTCTCATCAGAAGTTTGCCGAGCGCTCGAGACGAGTGTAGGGAAGCGGTACCGAAATTTTATCATAATTATTTTAATTAACGCCGCGAACGACGTTCTCGCGAGCGGATAGACGTATTCCCTCGGCGGTACGCTGAATAAATTAAACTGGCGTAAGGGGGTGGGCGGAGGGGAAGCTCGAATGAATCAGACGGTTTTAAATGCAAACGTCAGGCCAGCCACCGTTTCAAGATTCCCGCCCAGTTTTGACGTTAGTGTGACGAGCTGTTTCGTGCAAAAGATGGAGCGTTTTGAAAAGCGCCGACGAGCACTGGCCAACGAGAGCCACGATGAAAAAAATTTATGAATATTATCGCAACGCGAACGCGCTTCTTTCCTTTTTAAACATTATGCGTAATGAATCTCCCCGTCCCGACAGAATTTAATTATTTTTGTGTCTGTGTCTGTCTTTTATTCTTCGCGTTCACCTGCGAAACTTGTAGAATCAATGTATGCACATCAATGAATTCTACACCTCAGATTTTGATGGAGATACTTGTAAAGAATTCGCTGGAAAGTCGACCTTGACGAAATTGAATTTCAAAGTTAAAATTTCTGTTCTTCTTCTGAATTTTTGTACTCTACTCACTACGAAGATAAAACTTCTCCAAGGAATTATGGGTCGCAACCTAATAGTTTCTTTTGAAAAATGAACGATTGAAGAAAGTTCAATCGTTCAACGCACTGCAGATTTTATGGATCTGGATGGCATTGGTATCATTCGATATTTACGAAAGGATATTTTGTCATTTTTCTAACATTCTACTATTAAACGCTATAGAATTACAAGTGTGTCAATATATATTTTGCTCTCGAATTTTTATATCTCTTGTATTATTATTGCACAACTCTCATTATTAGAAATTATTATTGTGCGCATTACTTTCGTATCTAGTATGAACTATTTATGAAGGCAGATTTTGCTGGTATATCATTCGTTTTCATCAAGCTATCGCCAAAAAAAAAAAAAAAAAAAAACCAGGTGGACCATAATGGAAATAAAATTTCAAGTGTTGATAAAAACGAGAATCACGAGGAAAAATTGGAAAGAAGGAAAGGTGACTAAATTTTGTATGAACGTCTCGTCGAAGAACGATAATCAATGTGACTTGTAGAAATTATTGTCGATGCCAGCTCGTAACTCTCTCTCTCGTAAGATTTTAGTGGTACGCTGTTAAGCAAGTGACAACTTTGACTCTAAATCGTAGGAGAGGCTGCAGTTGACCGTGGCTGGTCGCCCGACACGGAATAAATTTTCCGTGGAGACCGGCGTAGCAACTTGCCCTCGCCCGATATCGGCCACACTAATCTTTCGTCCCGTCGACGTTCACTGGTTTGCCAGGCTGTCCCGTCCAGATAGAGAACCAGCCCACGGCTGTTTGCTCGTGCACACACATACACACACACACAAACACATACATGAACGAGCATGTCGCGCGATACAAATTGATTTGCTTCTTACCTGTAAACCGATGTACCGAGGTCCTCGCGGTACCACAGCACCAGGTGCACCGAATCCCCTTCGTGGGTGGTTGATATGTCGCAGGGAAGGTACGTCGGATCCCCGACCAGTGCCACGATGTGCGATATCGGGACTGGAACAAAGAGGGACATCAGCATTTTTGGGAATTTATTTGTATTATTTATATATATATTTGTAATATAATATAATATATATTATGTTATTTTATAAATTATATTATATATGTATAAATACTTATAATATAAATATAATATAATATAATATAATATAATATATTATATATATTATTTTATAATATTATATAAATATTATTTTATATTACATACATATATGAATAATATTATATTATAAATTATATTATATATATATACTTATACTATTTATATACTAATATATTATAAATTATATTATATATACTTATACTATTTATATATATTAATACTTATAATATATATTATATTATATTATTTTATGATAGTATATAATATAAATATTTATATTCTATTATATAAAATTTAATTATAAATAAATTAATAAATTATAACGTAATATTAAGTTATATGAATATATTTATCCATATTGTTATTTATATTATTTATTTGCAAGTAATCTACGATCAATCTGTCTGATTGAATACCACAGTTTCATAGTTAACTGCAAAGTGTTTAAGTTTCATAGTTAATTGGTATCAAAGATAACTGCAGAGTTTAATTATGGGAGGAAAATTTCGTTTGGCGGAAGTTCAGATTCTGCAGCAATCTGCAGTTGAAGTGACACGGTGGAACCTCGATTACCGAAATTAATTGCGAGAAATGTGCTTGGATAATAGAATTTTCGTACGGCAGCCCTCTCTATACTTCGGTTTCATGTTAACGAAATCGCGCAGTTCCCTTTTCTAAAATAAGCCGAAGATTGGAGAATTCGCTGTTTAAAACGATGTCAGTATTTAAGACATTTAGTTCATTTTGTTTAGAAAAATATTTTACTCTCTGGCCAGTGCGATATTTCGAAAAATATTAGATATTTCGTACAATTAGATATTGGATATTTCTGAATAATCGAGGTTTAAAGTTTAAGCGAAAATCTGCTTTGACGAAATGATTGCTTTTCCAACGCTTTGAAACAAGATCGTTTTGCAGTAATTAGAAAAGTGTCCGAGACGAACGAGGCGAAGCGTGAGCTTTCGCGTGTTGATGTATTATGCCAATGAGAGACAGTATCGCGGGGAGCGTGTTGAGAGGCTAAGAAGTTTCCTGATGAAAACATGTCAGTCACGTTATCCAGAATGGTGATTTATATTTCGCGGGTCCCTCGACTCGGATCAAGGAGCGAACTTAAGATTTATGGGCCGTCTTTCTTGAGAGCAGCGACTGCCGCCGCTGTCCCCGTAATGCGCACCTGCATGTTTATGCGGCTGAGTGCCGGCGCGTCACATGCAAAATTCAGAGAAAACGGTCGAGAAAATACCGCCTTAGGGAGGGAGAGGAAATAATCGCGATTTACGTTCGTTGTTTCGAGAGTTAAATTGTAGCAACGTGTCTATGGTTTAACGCTAAACGTACCAGCACTTTATACAGAGTGTCCATAAAGTCTCTTTACAATTTCAAAAATTTATTACAGAGGCAAATGAAAGGACAGACGAGTGGAAATTATTTACAAAATGAGTCGTATATATTTAATATTTTTTCTGTCTTATTTAATACACCTCTATATGGGCACCATTAATTGCACGAAGCACATCAAGACGGTACTCGATTTCTTACACGATCGATGTTTCCCTCAGATGTTCTTGGTCGTCCATTCCTCTCTTTATCGAACACTGTCCCTGTCTCCATAAATTTCATGTGCCATGCACGAATTGATGGACGTGACGGTGGATCTCTTCCATACTTAGTTATGAAGTTTCGCTCAGTCTGCAGATCCGAGTTGGTTTCAATAAATCATGACACACACTGTGCCTTCTCTTGAAGAGTAGCCACTTTTTAAGGAGTTCATTTAACAGTATCTTATTCATCAACAGGATATGAAATGCAATGTGATAGAAATCTTGATAATTACTGAATATATAGAACAAATCTGACGAAGATATCTCTTCAATTACTTTTGTAATAAATTTTTGAAATTGTAAAGAGACTTTATAGATGCGTACGTGGGGTTATGTTAAAGATATCGTGTATCGAACAAAGGTAAGGGACATCACTAATGGCGCCTATATAGAGGTATATTAAATAAGACAGAAAAAAACTTAAATATATACGACTCATTTTGTAGTAATTTCTACTTATCTGTCTTTTCATTTGTCTTTGTAATAAATTTTTTAAATTGTAAAGAGACTTTATGGACACCCTGTATATTGTACCCACTGGAAATTTCACTTTGGAATTTAATCGATTGTATTTATCTAACCTATTATTATATTTCTAATATTTCTACTATAACTGGTCAAATGACCGGTCATGAAATAAAGGTGCTTTCAAGAAAATAGTGCAGCTAGTTGTCAGTTTAATATAAAAAACAGTGCGCAGATGAGATGAGAAAAGAAATTATATATTTTCATCATTTTCACATGAGAGTTTAACGAGCGAAAGAAATTGAAATCAAATTTTTAAACCGATCGTTTGGCATGTTTAGTGTCAAGTCGGGAAAAGTGTTTTGAAACTTCAACGAAATCTCGCGATTTTCAATTCACTCTTTTTCGAGAAAAGTTGAGAGAACTTTATTTCAGGGCCTTTCGTTTCGATCCTGAACACAACCATTCGCGCGTGCATATGAACTCTCCAATGTTCCATTCGTACGTTTGCCCTGTTATTTCGTATCACTTTTCTGTCATTTTTCTGTCAGTTTCTCTGTCCGTCCTGCAGACGTCGAAAGGATCGTTATTACAGGCCGTCCAGACGAAGGATTATTTTACCCCTCGGTTCAGAGTTTCGCCAGCGAGTTTCGTTCGTTTCTTCGACGATCCGTTACGCGACCATTAATCTCTCGGAAATTCCATCGCGTCGTTCGGCCAGGAAATTCCGAGGAGAGTTGAGGAGAGTCTATGACTTCTCCCGAGCTGGGAGAGGGAGGGAGGGAAAGAGACAGACGCGTCTCTCGAGCGAGGTAATAACGTACGCTCCCTTGTTTTTCCGTGCGCCGCCGTGCGCATGAAAATGCTTCTACTTAACCAGTCGTTTCGGGAATAACAGGAACAAAAAAGAAAAGAAAAGAAAAGAAAAGGAAAGAAAAGAAAAGAGAAAAGAAAAAAGGGAAAAGAACAGGCGAAATAAAACGAAACGCTCGTTCTCTGCTCGTTGTCGTCGTCGTCGTCGTCGTCGTCGGGGGAAAACGAGTCTCGAGTCGTCCTCCAGTGACCCAGATGCGGCAGTGTTAAAGACGAGCGTACAGAAACAGAAATTATAATTTCTAGAACTACGTACGCGCTCTCTGGGTATTTGTGCGTTGGCGAATCGATTTGATTCGTGTTTTCGAAACGACTGGACATTGTGTCGCGCAGCGGTAGTGGGACACGGGCGAAAACAAAGGTTAACTGTTGGCTGGCGCTGAACGCGTAGTTATTTATCGCGTGAATGGTTTTAATCGCGCGGACGCGCTGCGCCAGTTCGCAGCCAATTTTCTGATTAACTGGGACGAGCCTGTTAAGAACACCGGAGGGGGATGAAGTTAGTTTACACCAGACACGCGATTGGCGATTGTCCCGCAGGCTATTTCGTAGGCTATCGGAAACTTTTTGCTCCGCGCTGTTTAAAATTTCTTTTTTTTCTTCTTTTTTTTGGTCTCTTTCCACTTTGGAAAATTTAGATTAAATACGCGGTGCAGAGCGAACCTCGACGAGTAAATTGTACTTATTAATTCTCTCGCTGTGACGGTTTCATTGTTTCTCAATTCGTTAATAACGAGAGAGAAAAATTTCATATCGAGTCTGAAGAGCATCGTTTTAACGATTGCAGGAGATAAACTTGTCGCAGCGACTCACTTATTTTTCTGATTTTTTAATTTTTTCTTCTTAGATTGTACTTTCTTATAGAGTTTCTTCCTTCTCTGAAATGTTCACAGAAATAGCAAAGAAATGGAGATTATTCAGAGCAGTCAGAATGTACGACGAAACAAAAATTCATCAAGAAGTTATAAATTGCAACCTTTGCAACTTTATAGCTCTCTTGAAGAATGGCAAGGAAGTTTTCTAATCATTTAATACCGCTAACAGCGACTTTATGATTCTGAACGCGTGGATGTCTATATATTACGTAATGTTTATATTTCGAACAATGTTAACCGTTGGTTTTATCATTAGATTGTTTCGAATGACACTGGCGTTACAATTGTGATAAATTAAATATTAACGAAACCTAATACGAGAATTATGCAATATAAACATCCACGTGTTCAGAACCATTAAGTCGCTGTTAGCACGTACGCGTTAAATGATTAAGACAGTTTATTACGATTTTTCTTGAAAAAGTGATGAGTAAAATAAAATGCAAAGAAAATCTGACCTTGAAATTCAAGATCAAATTTTCTGACAGGTTCTTTCCACGAAATCGAAGGTGTAGAATTCATCTATGACAGCCACGGGCAAACTTTTCTTTCCACCCTGTACATTGAGCATCGCTATGACACTATTCTGGACAAATCTGAAAGTTTCTTTCTGTATAAAACGCAGGATCAAAGCAATTTTTCTAGCAGTTTAAACGTAACTCCAAAAGTTGAGCATCTTCCTCGCAGCGGGAGAGTCAATTTAGAAAATTTCGACGAAACGCGAAGCGAAGCGAAATCATTAGCGCCTGTATTTTATTGACAGCCTGCGAATCTAACAACTAGCAATCACGTCTATTATCCCCGTTTATTATTATTCACGGTCAACGTTATGACATTACCCGATGATTTCCCGCTCTTCCGCGAAACCCGGATCCCATCGCATCGGTACATAATGGTATCGCTTTACTCAGAGATCCGAGCATTCGTTATCCGAGTCTTTTATTCCCTCTGGTCAGGTTCCTCGGCAAGGAGAAGCCTTTGCGTCCACTCCAGTATCCAGCGGAACCAAAAGGGTACGCGACTTTCAGTCCACGGGGACTTTGAAGAAACATAATACGCTTAACGCGTACCTCC